GCAGTATGCCGAGAGAAGGCTTCGTTGTTACGAGTGGGAAGAGGGGAGCGTGTTTGACATGGTGTCTGAGGAAGAACGGGGTTTTGGAGAGGTAGGTGCGAGCGTTTCTAGGGAAGGGAGTGTGTTTGGTTGAAGAGAAGCGACAAGAGGGATTCATCATGTGGGGGAGAAAAGAAAAAGAAAACAAAGGCCGTGTTTGGTTTGGAATCTGCGGGATTATTCGGGGAGATTCTCGGCCATGGGGAAGAGGAGGAGGAGGGAGGAACTAGGAAGAGAGCATTGTGAAGTTTTGTTTGGATGCTACTTGCTTTTCTGGTTGAGGGAATGAATGAGTGGTGATTAGTGATTGAAATTTGGAGGTGCTGTGTTTTCTCACCAAACACTTACAAAATATCGCTACAAATATTATTATGGTTCAAAATGGGAAAACAAATTCGGACACGCACATTATCCACAACCACACCCAGTATGACATGGACTGTTTCTCCGGGCTACACGTGTATAGATTGGCTTGCTTTTTCTCTTCCATGTTTCTTTCTTTTTGTTGCGTGGCATGTTATGATTCCTTTGCAAATTTTTGTGTGTTTAGCGGAAGGGGTGTGTCTTTCTTTTTGTTGCCTGTACACTTATGATTTCTTTTTCTTGCTGTTAGAAAGTATGACTGAACTTATTATTTATATTAAAAACCTATTTTAGTTTTTTATAATAATTATTTATTTTAATTTAGTTTTATTTTTATTTTTAGTTTCAATTTACTTTCTAATAAATTAATTAGTTGCAATATCGGACTTTCGTCTAAATTATTTAAACGGAGTTAACTGTTGGCCATGTAGATGCCATGTAGATGCATAGGTGAATGCCACGTGGATACCAAATTCCTTGAATACACCTGGAACCAGAACGGCCCGTTCTGAAACCAGAACGGACCGTTCTGGGTGCACTCTTGGTATGTTAATTTTACATCCGAAATGACCCGTTCCAGGTGCAAAATTAACACACTAAGAGTGCAACCAAAACGAGTCATTCTGGTTCCAGAATGCCAAACACAAACGGTCAATGATTATAGTTCACGGTTGGGAATTATGGAAGGAAAAGGACCCAAGATACAAAGCATTTCAAATACTGAATTTGGTAATATTGTCAATGGAAATTGATAACTTCAATTGCTAAACAGTTGGACTATACAGTGTATCATTAAAGACAATGCAGTGTATCAGTAAGGACAATGATAGCAGATTTTATTTCATTGTTAGTCAAACTGGAGTGAATCACTTATTACCAAATTGACACTATATAGTAAATGATGAAATGACATAGTATTTTTCCTTGAAGTCATTAAAGATGTACTCCAACAACAACAACCTGTTCTTGAGGAGGTACAACCTGAAGTAAAGGAAGAGGATATACAGGACTAACATTTCACCACACAACCACATGCAAGAACAAATCTAAGTTAATCGTAGTGGGGGCAAGTGCACCCACTAAATTTTTTTTCATTCTTTTTTTTTATTTATATATATATAAGATTAATAATTTTATAAAATATATATTATTAATTATTTTAATTATCTTATTATATCTAATATAATAAATAAATTAATATTTTATATATATTTTATTTTATTGTTTAATTATTTTTTATTTTGTGGTAAAATTATCTTCATTTTTAATGAAGAAAAAATTTACTTACTTCAAGAGTAAATCTTGATAGATTTATTCTACTTAATAATTAATGTTCTTGTTTGTGGAGGATTTCGTTTCTAGGTTCTTTTTATTCTAACTAGCACGATTTCAATTTATGCGTGTTCGCAACGTGACAGAATCAAAACCTTTCAGTGAAAAAATAAAATCATACAAGCAACAAATAGAGTTCATAAGTTAGGGTGTTTTTTCAGAACGTCAGAAGATCTATGCTCATTGTTTGAGCACATTAGAAGATCTATGCTAGTTTTAGCACATCAGAAGATCTATGCTTGTTTAGCACATCAGAAGATCTATGCTAATTATACAATCAATTTCATGCATGTAAGAATCAACGTGAATTGAACAGATGACATGTATATTGACTGCAGAACTCATATCCTTCATTAAATGGTAACAGAATTACAATTCGTAAGGATAACGAAATAGGTTCAGATGACTACACTACACTAGACTATGTTACGCTAAAAAAGAAAAAGAAAGGTGGTCGAGAAATCGTACCCAAAGTTGTCTCGTATGCACGGTATGCCTTATGCGCAGGCGAGGAGTGCGTGTGAGGTATTGCCGGTGTGTGATTTCTGACCCTTTGCTACGAGCATGGCTCGTTTAATTTATAGAAAAAGATTTGGGAAAGGTAACTGTTTCTGACGTGCCCTGAAAGTGCATAACCGTTCTAAACCTCCACATTGTGGCTCATTCCCGGGCACATCTTTGGATATTTCTTGGAACCGCTCATTAACTTCCCAAACCGTTCTGCAGTCTTTGACACTTATCCCATGATTTACTTCAACCGCCCCTAAATCGTGTTTCCTTTAAGTTCTTCATTCTGAGGGGTTGCGAAGTATGCTCATGTATATCCGGATCCTTGGGATTTCGAGTGACCTACAAAACGTATACTTGAGTGTTTCCTGATTTTTCTTGTACTTTGAGAGGTTACGAAGCTGTGAGCCCTCTTCATGAGCAGCAACTTTCAAGGTTCAAGGCTTTCGAGAGTTTCACGAAAAATATCTTCGCGTGTCTCTTGATTCTCTTCAGGCTCTGTATGTCTCCTCTTCAGAAACTTCCTTGCCATTTTTCGATTACCTAAGATTTTGAGTACTCCCGTATTTCGAGCATCATCGAATTCTTTTCTTGGTACTAACAGTTCTATATTAAATTTTTAAAAATTTAATTGTTAAATTAAAAAGCTTTTCATGTATAGATCAAATTTATAAAATTTTTTAAAAAATTAAAAATCATATGATACTTCGTTATTTAGATAGATAATGCTGATATCCTATTGCCATTCAGTGTTATATGGTGGATAAGATGTATTATTGGCACCTTCAGCATTATTTAGATAATTTCCTTCTCAGTAATTTCTTTGAACTTTTTTAGTATATGTTATGTTCTGTATTTTTGTTTTAAGTCTCTAAACCATATTTTTGTTTTTGAATTTATGATATGTTATGAATTTTTATTTTTAATTTTTGAACCACATTGCAGTATTTTGGTCAACACAGGCATGAAGTTGGCGTTCTGGAACGGGTCGTTCTGAATCCATAATGACCCGTTCTGAAACCAGAACGGCCTGTTCTGATTTCAGAATGGACCGTTCTGCTGTACTCGTGGTGTGTTAATTTTGCATCTGGAACGACCCGTTTCAAATGAAAAATTAACACACCAAGAGTGCAACCAGAATGACCTGTTCTAGTTTCAGAACGGGCCGTTCTGATTCCAGGTGTATTCAAGAAATTTGGCATCTACGTGGCATCCACCTATGCATCTACGTGGCATCCACGTGGCCAACAGTTAACTTCGTTTAAATAATTTGGACGGAAGTCCGACATTGCAACCAATTAATTTATTAGGGACCAAATTGAGACCAAAAATAAAAGTGGGACTAAATTAAAACAAACAATTATTATAAGGGACCAAAATAGGTTTTTAGCCTATTATTTATTGACTTAATTTATTTATGGATAAAGTCCCTCCATTCATCTATAACAATAAATAAAATGAATACTTAAATCTGGTCTCCACAATTTTTTATACTTTTCTTTTTATGATTTTAATCGACTTCATAGTTTCTTACTTAATTTGTATGATTACCCATGATATAAATGAAAAATGAAAAAGTTTTATTTTAAAATCTTGCATATTTAAAATGAGTCTCCGTTTACTTTCTAACTCACTACTCCTACATTTGATAACATTGTAACTGAATCTCTATTCAACTCTTTATCTTTTAACATAAAAAAAAAGTAAAAGTGAAATCACACATTCTCCTTTTACACACAAATATAGATACTCAATTTTGTCTGGGTATTCTAAACAAGGCAAGAAGACTTTGAAGGTTCAATATGACACTTGAACAAACCATAATAACATCAAGAGGTTCAAAAGCACAAAGGGCTGAAATAGGAGCTCGGAACGGGCCGTTCCAAATCATCAAAAAGGCTTAAAAATCCTATTTCAAAGTGGGCATTCCAAATCCAGAACGGGCTATTTTGACCTAAGTTGTTATGAGCAAAATAAAAATATGGAATAGGCTGTTCCAAATTCAATTTTTTGGCCATAACAAACTAATCTAGAATGGGCCATACTGATGACCAGAATGGTCGTTCCAATTAGATTTGAGGCCTATAAATAGATGCCTCGTGTACAGTGCTCAGGGATCGAAGGGGGACAAAAAATTTTGCCTGTTTTAGATTGTATAGCTAAGAAATTCTCTTTCTCTCTCTCTCTCTCCCTTTTGTATTTCTTTAGTTTGTGAGGATATTTGTTAAGTGAGAAAGGCTGCGAAAACGCACCTACAAACCACCATTGAAGGATTTTTATAAAGCTTATTTCGGAGGTATTTTCATCAAATTCTTCTCTTCTTTACTATTTTTTATTCGTATTGTATTGCCATAATATGAATAATCATTAATAAAGGGGATTAAATATTCAAAATTTTATTCTTTATGGGACTAATTTCATCATAGGATATCAAAATAGGGCGTTGTAG